CGATTACAATGCAAAATAATTTGTGTCTATGTCAGTGTAGACTGTTTGGTCTCATAGGAATTCCATGAGATTCTCTTCCCCCATGTAGAAAAACTGGCTTTGTCTTCATTTGCACATTCAGATTCATGTTCCTTATCTATTAATGAGTCTCTTTGGATTCTCTTTTGAGCTGGTTATAAACTCTGCCTGATTCCCTCATGAATGAAATCAAGCCTTTAACTTGCATTCATTTTTATATTCATATGACAATCATCATCCGTCTTTTTTTGAAAACTTTTTATAGTGGCAAAGACAGGACAGCAGGAAGCCAGAGACTAAAGGAAAATGACATAGTCAAGTTTGGATGGGAGGATAAATTTAGGTAGGTTTAAGGAGAAGAGAACATCTTATTACTTAGGTTCAGTTTGAAAAGCAAGAAAGGGGAAAAAAAGACCACTGAGTCACTTAGAGGAATATTGTACATAATAGGGATTTCACATTTTGTTAGTAGTTTGAATAAGTACATTTGCTAAAGCTTTAGTATTTATAAGATTGTAATGAAGGCATGTACCTTTTTATATCTTTAAGAATTATTTATTTAACTTTATTATTATTATTATTTTAAATTTGCTATGGAGTGCATGTGCCCACCAGAGAGAGAGAGACAAAGTGAGAAAGTAAGCTGTCAGGTCTGGGACTCGAATTGCAGTTGGCAATGTGAGAGCCCAGCATCTTAACCACCACACCAGCTGCTGGCCCCGGCATGTACCTTTATCATGAATAAAGAAAAATAAGTAAAGGAATTCTTAAAAAAGAAAAACTCTTGGTGAGTCAAAGGAGGAAGGTCAAGGGGTAAGCTTTGGCCGTCAGCACACTATGATAGATATGATGGGGTCCCTGGAGCTGGCAGAAGGGGCCTTTCAAGGCACACTAGTGCCTTTTTTGATGCTCCAACATGCAGATTTAGAAACTGATTTAGGCTTAAATAGAGCATGATTCCACTAGTCACAGTATTCTTTTGTTTCACTAATTTTGGTATATACACATTGAAATGAACTGGAAAGAGGATGGGAGCTGTTGCTTGAATATTATCTCCAACTCTTTAGAAACTTGGGAAAAAAAGTTCATTGTTAAAAATGATTAAATGTGGGGCCAGTAGGTAGTTTGGTGGTTAAGGGCGCTGGAGTCCCAGATGCCTGACCACGGTTCGAATCCTGGACCTAGTGGCTTGCTTTCTCATTCTCTCTCTCTCTCTTGCTCTCTGGTCAAATGAAAAATAAAGTTAAACAAAATAATTCTTAAAAATGATTAAATGTAAAAAATAAGAAAATAAATTAAAAAAAAACTAGTAGCTGCAGTAGTCTCTTTCTTTAAAAGAATTGTTTTATTTAACTTTGTTTAAATTTGATTGGAGAGGGACAGAGAGCAAGAGAGAGAGAGAAAGGGAGAGAGAGAGAAAGAGAAAGTGAGAAAGCAAGCTGCCGGGACTCCAGCCATGCTCAAACCATGGTCAGCCATGTAGGAGTCCAGCACCTTAACCACCACACCACCTGCCAACCCACAATAGTCTCTTTTATAAATTTTCTTTCATGCAGTCTAAAGCACCAGCTTTGGAATGGGTCATTTCTTGCTTTTTCTCTACTGTGCTAAATTGTCCGAGTGACACTACACATCACAAATGTCTTGATTAAATCTGTTTGATGCCATTCTGTAAGATAGCTTCAGCTTGAGTTCCATATGTGTCAGTTAATCTTTACTTATTCTTTTTTCTGAAACGGTCTTAATTGATGTGGCTGAAAATTTAGCATCTCAATCATAAAAGGAGTTTGTTTCTTCTTTTGAAAGTTTGGCCCATAGCTTAGAGGTTAAGGGAGCCAGACCCCCACATAGTGGATCGCAGTTCAAATCCTGTCCCTAGTGGGGACATGGAGAAGGGATTGTGGCATGACCATACCCCCTTGGGGGGTGCTTTCTCTCTTTCTCTCTGATGAGTGCACATATCCCCTGGCAATTAAAACATTTATTTATTTCTCCAGAGTGAGAGAGAGAAAGGGGGGGCAACCTTAAAAGGGTCTTCGTGATTCGCTCTTAGCTTCAACCAACCTGGCACATACAGGGAGACCTCAGGAAGGAACCCAGGACCCTCCCACATGGGCCCGCCTTGCAGAGAGTCCTGTTACCTCTGTGCCATTGACTGTCCAAAGGAGGCTTTTCTTTCTATTACTAAATACTTTACACTTCCTTTCATTATTTAATTGATTTATATGATTTTATTTTTAGTTTTTGGTATAAGGCACATGTGCTCACTAGAGAAAGAGAGAAGAGGGAGAGAAAGAGGAAGAGAGAGAGGTAGAAAGAGAATGTTAGAAATCACACCCCCCTCCCCGGAGGAGATGGCCACACTGCAATCCCTTCTCCATTCTCCTCTCAGGATAGTGGGCATGCACACACATGCTCCCTGTGTGTTTTCCTTTCCCTTCCTTTCCTTTCCTTTCCTTTCCTTTTCTTTTCTTTCTCTTTTTGAGATTTCTGCTATAGGGCATGTGCACTCACCACAGAGACAGAAAGAGACAGAGAGACAGAAAGCAAGAAATCCTTCCCCCTACCCCTGAGGGGGAATGGCTGGCTATGTCACAATCCCTTCTCCTCCATTCTCCTCTCAGGATTCTGAGTATGTGCACACATGCACCTGGTGTGCTTCAAGCTGCCAGGCCTGGAACTCAAACTGTAGTTGATCATGTGCAAGTCCAGTGACGTAAACATTCTGCCATTTGCTGGTCCCAGTCCTGTGTGTTTTTCAAAGCACCAGTCTGAGACTGGTGTAACCATGGAAATTACCCTAAGCACCATGCCACCAGCTGGTCCTACTCTTCCTTTTAATGTCATTATATTTGTAGGACCAGCAGTTGGCATAATGGCTATGTCACTGGACTCCCATGTAGTTGACCGCGGTTTGAGTCCTGGACACGGTGGCTTAAAACTCACGCCAGGTGTGTGTGTGTGTGTGTGTGTGTGTGCCCAAGATTCCGAGAGAAGAATGAAGGAGAAGGGATTGAGGCATGGCCATCCTCCCTGGGGGGTGATTTCTCACTTTCTGTCTCTGTCTTTCTAGCGAGCACATGTGGCCTATATCAAAAACCCCTCCAAAAAATATGATCATTATATTTGAGAACTATATTATATCAGGAGACTTGTGTTCTAGCTTCAGCTTGGTCCACTATTAGCTCTGTGACCTTGGACAAGCAAATTAACTTCTCTTCCTTCAGCCTCACTTCCCTCACATAAAGTGGAGCAGTCAAGGGAACCAGCAGTTAGCGTAATGGCTATGTCGCTGGACTCCCATGTAGTTGACCACAGTTTGCGACCCGGACCCAGTGGCTTAAAACTCACGCCAGGCGCGTGTGCGTGCGTGCCCAAGATCCCGAGAGGAGAATGGAGGAGAAGGGATTGTGGCGTGACCATCCCCCCTGGGGGGTGAT